GTGGATGTTAAGTGTGATGGATTCACCGAGCTCCAGCGCTGATGGTTCCATAAACGCAGCCAGCCGATTGGATCAACAGATTGTTTTACTCGGTGGTCAAACCCAGCGTGACTTCTAATTTCAGAGGAAGCCCAGTTTATGGGCGGCAGAGAAGCTGCTGTGTTATCAGACGTACAGTAGGGGAGTTGGAGGAGAAGCTAATGCAAAGTGCTTTGAGCCCTTAAACTAACCCACTTTGTTAAAAGGCAGAGAAAATGCTTATGGCAGTGGATCTGCTGCGAAGTACTGAGAGAACATGCATGACTGATGACTGCAATTCATCACACACACACACACACACACACACACACACACACACATGGAGCTGTGGTGTGTTAGGTATTTGTTGACATACATAAGGCTCCACTTCCGACACAACTGTCCAGTTTTCCCCCCACATCAGCAGATGTTGATGAAAGTAGAAAAAAAAATTCAGCTCTGCAAAATACCTTTTTACCACAACCAAGGATGTTGTGTTTTTTTGCTTGTTTTGTTGGTTGGTTTGTTTATTTGTAAGCAAGATTACAGAAAAACTACAAGATGGATTTCCACAAAATCTGATAAAAGGATGTGATACGGGTCAGGAAACAACCCATTCAATTTTCATGCGGACCCAAGAGGTTTTTTTTTACTAGAAGGGGCCATTTTCATTGATTTCTCCTTGATGACATTAATGGATCTTGATGAAAAAAATGCTGATTGTGTGCAATTTGGTGCAGATCAAAATAAAAGTCCAGATCCAAATGTGGTTTCATGAGGGACTGTGAGGCCTTGGCAGAGCTAAGATTGACTAGTTCATTGGTTGGTTGGTGGATGTGTTTGTCAGCAGAATTAAACAAAAACTACTCAACAGATATTCATCCAACTTGGTGGAAGGATGGGAAATGAGCCAGGTCAGAACACGTTAAATGTTGGTGCAGATCCAAAGGGGCAGATCATGGATTTCATGTTATTTTCAGCTGTTATTTTTCAGATGGTAACAACTAGAATCTTACCTGCAATGTGGAGTTGAGTAAACGTAACGTGGCCTTAGCTGGACGGCTTGTTTGAATTTAAGTGGACTGTTGGCAGAGGTATGCACTCAACTGAGTGGCCATTATGGGGTTAACCATGCAGAGCTGTGCCTGAAGGAGCTAACGTTGTAATTTAATGGTCTTTATTTGAAAAGCACACATCAGTCCATCCATTATCTATAACACTTATCCTCTGAGGGTCGCACAGGGGGTGGAGCCAATCACTGCTGACATTGAGCGAGAGGCGGGGCACAGTCAGGTCACCAGTCCGTCACAGGATTGACACATAAAGACAAACATCCAGTCACACCCACATTAAAAAGCAGATTTTTACTCATCATTACTTTTCTAGTCTTTAATGCCAACCAGGTCCATGGTGGTGGCCACTGGCGTCAGAATCAGGATTGGTGAAAACTAATATCAGAACCCATGTCTAATTGTTATTCAACCTCAATCTCCTTACCCGCCCCCCCATATCGCTTGATAGATTACTAACTGACTCGTTTTCCTTCCTTGACAAGGTCAATGGCTTTCGCATGGGTGAGGTAATTTATAAATAGCAGGACAATCTCCGTGTGTGTCCACTTCTTAAGCAACGAATGCCGCGAACGTCTTTAACCAGAAAGGGTGAAACAATAAAGGAGCTTAAGAAAGGCTGCGTTCAGCGAGATAATATTTTATAGGTTCATTATCCATGTGTTCAGCCTCAGTAGCTATAACATCAGTAACGTCCTTCACTGCTGAATGCACCTGTGGCAGAGCAATAATGCAGCACTCTCTGCTTATAGAAGGAAAAAAAGGTGGTTGTATAATTATTGTATTTGTTTGAATGCTGCAATCATCCTACGTCAACAACGGGATGATGTGTGTTTTCCTTCAGCCTTCTTTACCTACATGAGCCGTGCAATACTAATTTGTTAAACATCAAAAATCTTCCTGCATGATATCTATATTTAGATCTATATATCTATAGATCAGCTCTGCTCCACATCATCCTCTCCCTGTGTTCACAGGGGCTTCTTCATATGTACAGTAGGCTACACTCTCCTGTGTGGGTTTAATGAGGTGGAAAAATATTCAAACTCACACATTTTTAAAAGGGAACATGAATTTTACACATCAAAGTCTGTCTAGGTCTTGGGGAGTGCTACTGCATGCATGAAAAGCATCTCGAAATTATGATAAATGACGTCAGGAGCATTTTCATACCTGAAAGTTTGGATCAAGGTTATTGTCTTTGTTACATGTTTACATTTGATCTGGATAGTTTGGGTTTTACATTTACCTACGTTCGTCCTGTCATCATCACCAACGTGGACTGCGTCTATTCTTGACATTGATTGGTTTGTAGACGGGCATGACTCTGATGTCGGCATGTTGTCAGTTCGGTTATGGAATGAAAGGACGTATGATTTGGTCGCGTTTGAAGGAGCCTTCAAAAAGCATCAGCCCAGTAGCATCGCTGTGATGTAATCAGGCTGGTGTGGATGTTGTGTGTGTCAGGGAGGAACCCACTGAATTTTGGTGTAGATCCAGATCCACACCAAGACGGATCAACATTGCAAGATGAGACTGTGTTTTAAAATTTTCAAAGTTTTAATTAAAATTTTTAAAAAATCAGACATATTTAGGGAACTCATCTATGAGTGTACGTAATTTGCTGCAGCTTGATGGGACTGTTGGGCCTTGGTGGAGGTTTCTGCTGTGAGAGCCATTCTAGCTTGAAGGGTTTTCTATATTTACATTGTTTAATGTTTTATCCTATTAAGTGGTAAATCGAGATTTGTCTCTAAATGAGTCTTTACAAAGACTTTGTAAACACTAGACTTTATACACTTATCTTCAAGTCGTACATCCTATGGTTTATGTCCCTTACTCTGTAGGGACGATGTAGAGTGATAGAAACACCACAATAATGTCAAGATGTCAACTTAAAGTAGTATGGTCTTTTTATGTCCATAATATATGTCATAGAATGCACATGCTGTCATGTTCATCTTTCAACATTCTAGAAATGCCTGGAAAACGCTGTGCTTTGAACAGCTGCCTGCTCAGGTGCACTCATCTTTCATGCATGATGAGCCGTATGAAAATTCATAAATGGAGAGCCAAAGGGTGTGCCTGTTTGCATGTGCATGGACAACATTGTGCTGTGAAGTACACACCACAAAGCATCACCCACTGTCGCTCGCATGACATATTGAACCGTGACGGCTGCTGACTACTCGGTTCGTGTCCTCCTCCACCTGCAGGGAGGCAGCAGAGACGATGGAGAGATCGAATCTTAATGAGACTCTCAGTCTCCACCGAACCTCATCCTGTCTCCTCAGAAAATACAGTCAGGAGGAGCTGATGTGAAAACGATGGAAGCCCATTTCTGCCAGTGAAAGAAATTATGAGATAGTCAAAAATATGAGATAGTTAAAAATACGAGATAGTTAAAAATATGAAATAGTCCAAATTATATGAGATTGCTAAAATATGAAATAAAAAGTCATATAATGAGATAGTTAGTTGTGATTATGAAAGAGCAAAACAATTATTAGATAGAAAGTCACAATTATGAGAGACTAAGTCATTATTTTGAAATATTAAGTCATAACTTTGAGATACTCAGGCTTTGCTTGAGTTAGTACGTCATTATTTGGAGATATTACATTGTTACTTTGAGTTACTCACTCATTATTTTCAGATACTAAGTCATTACTCTGAGATAAAAGTCATTATTATGAGTTTGAACATCATTGTTTTGAGAATGTTTCTCATTATAATGACTTCCATGAGTTTTTTCTTTCTATTTAACAAAGTGGCAGAAGTGATCTTCCATATAAAGCTTCTGAATGTGATCTGTATTGTTTAATGCTGCACCACGTCTGCCAGAGCCTCGAGAGATGGTCGGATTTAATTTTCACATCATCTTGATCTTCTGCAAATCATCCGTCGGATTATCTCTGCTGCATTCAAGAACAACTCACTGCTGACTTTAGAAGAACGTTCTCACTCAAAAATCAAATGTGCCCAAAAGATTCTCGAAAGCCTTTTTTTATTGCACAGCATCTGTGGATGTGAACAGATGAATCCCTCAAACAATGTTTACTTTGATTTCACATGATGCTGATGAACAACCAGCGTCACTTCAGTCGCTCTGCAGACCAGACCCCATCATTCAAAGCAGCAAATTAGCCTCTGTCGCCATGAGGTGGCAAACCACATGTGAACATAACTTACTCTAGATACACATTTGATGTCAGAGCAAACAGAGTCACACACACACACACACACACACACACACACACACACACACACATGCACACAAGGTGATGTTTGTTCAGTAAAATTGAACTTATCATCAGCTCTGCTGGGTAAATACAGTTTCTTTGTTTGACACAAGGTATTGTATGAATCTCTTCTTAGCGCCTGGTACAACAAGCCGACTTCAGGCTATTTTTTCAGCTGCATGAATGTCCCTCTCTAAATAAATAAGATAACCACAGGGCAACAGCGAGCAGGGCCTCGCCATACACCTACTGCACGTTATCATGTCACAGAACATATGGAGGGAAAACTCACTGTTTTTGAGTTTTTCAAAAATATAAAACTACCACATATGAGCACAATAAAAATGGATTCTGTGTCATTTAGCCGTATTTTCATAGATTTTTCTGACTTATAAAAAGAAAGTGTATGGTCTCTGCTGCTCGCTCACACTCGTGGGAATAACATGCACTGCAGCACCTTTCGAATATGAATCCATACAGAATGGACACCAATAAAAAGCAGCTTTTATTCCACCACTTATTTTTCTACTATTTCCACCCACAATTCCCCCAAAGTGTCCATCCTTTCAAGTCTGTTTTGTGCTTCACAGTCATTTTCATGAATCATTTCTCAAATAACACTTTGGCCCATCGGAGGCCACCACAGCTGGAGAGAATATTTCTTCATGTTTTCAAGTCTTGCTAGAATAAATACACGGATTTAATGAAATGATTTCACTGCACATTTTCTGTCTTTGTTTTATGAACCTGACTTTTAAAATCCCCTCACAGGTGCCTGTGAATTGGTGGTTGTTCCATCGCTTGCTCAGCTTTTGATAACAGTCTCAAAAATGTTGTTTTCTCACAGCTCCATGTTTTTATGCATGATATCCTAAAGCAAATGCATCAGCAGCTTTGATTGGGAACTGAGGGAGCGTCTGTTTTCACCACCTGCAGCACCTGAAGCGCACAAGTTTTTGGAAAGCTTTCTTGAAGTCCTCGTTGGACATGGTGTAAATGATGGGGTTGATGAGGGAGTTCAGGTATCCCAGCCAGGTGAAAAAGTCGAATAACTCGGGGTTCAGACACGTGTCGCATGTGGCCACCACCAGCGTGTAAATGAAGAAGGGCAGCCAGCAGACGATGTACGCGCCGAGGATTATCCCCAAAGTTTTTGTGGCTTTTCTCTCTCTGGCTGCAGAAATCCGCTTCTTCTCCAGCAGCGCGTCAGACACCGTCACTTTCACCTGGTTGTCGCCGGCCGAGGAGCCAGTGTCGCCGAGCGCAGCGTCGTGTCTCCCGTACTGCAGCGAGGTCGTGGATGTCACGGAGCCGGGGGAGTTGTTGACCAGGTGCGCGGAGGTGAGTCTCTTCCCCACCTTCTTGGGGGACTGCTTCAGGATGCGCTTCCGTGCCTCCACGTAAATCCGCCCGTAGAGGACGATGAGCAGCAAGGTGGGGATGTAAAAAGCCCCGAAGGTGGAGTAGATGGTGTAGAAAATATGATCCGTGTTGACGCCGCAGCTCGTCAGCTCCTCCGCCTTCACCTGCCTCCAGAAGAGCGGCGGCAGGGAGATGGAGATGGCGATGACCCAGGCTGTGGCCACCATCCCGGCCGCGCGTCCCGGAGTGCGCTTTTTGGAGTACTCCACCGCGTCCGTGATGGCCCAGTACCTATCCAGGGCGATTACGCACAGGTGGAGGATGGAGGCGGTGCAGCACGTTATGTCCGAGGAGAGCCAGATGTCGCACACGACTTGCCCCAGCGTCCAGGTGTGGATGACGGTGTACAGGACGCAGATGGGCATCACCAGGATGGACACGAGCAGGTCGGTGACGGCCAGAGAGGCGATGAGGAAGTTGGCAGGAGTTTGCAGCTTCTTCGACTGCGAGATCGTTGCAATGACGAACGCGTTGGATAAAGTGGTGGCCAGTGTGATGACGGACAGAACCACCGCCAGGCTGATCTGAAAGGCCAGACTCTCTGCGCTCTCATCCACGGCGGCGGATGAAGCTGTGATGAAACTGTCGTTAGTGGTGTTCCCCGACTCAGTCGTCACGATGTGACCGGATCGCTCCATGACTTTTACTCACTTCTTGTCATCTTTGAGATGTCTGACATCTAAGGCGCCCTTTCTCCTGGTCAGCGTCTCCTCATCCGTACAATCCGGTCACACCAAACGGCACAACGAGTCTGGAACATGAGAATGGAATCATTTCTTCCACATTTTCTTCCGATGGGCTACATCAGGTTTTAATATGGAGCTGCAGACACGTGGAAGCCAATATCCATTCCCAACAGCAATTCAAACTTTTCCGTTTTTTAGCCATAAAAGAAAACTTCACACTAGATGAGCGAGGTTGGTGCGTAAAAGACGAGTGCTGCGTCCTGATGTGCCAACATCTGGGAAGATGTCACATATAATCCGCATGTGGGGCTCAAGTTGTGCAGAGCTGTGTCTCTCCAGTCTCCCCTGTGGCTGAATGGGGAACCAGCCCAAAGTCTCGGTTTTATACAGACTCTGACATCAAACAAGCACCAGTAATCACAGCCTTGTTTTTTCCTCTCTCTCTCTGTCTATCTGCTGGGTCATAGTGCCCAGTGTGTCTCATTTGTCACACGTTAACTCATCTATAGGTTAAAATAAACTGCCTTCTATTACCACACTGGTCTCACCACTTTCTATAAGTCACCATTTATATAGGACGAGTGTTGTGTAACTTAAGACTGATGCTTTACATGTCCTTCATGAACCTTCAGGGAGATGAACCCTTGGTCCCCATCTGTTGAGTCTTTATTTGATGTCATTAAGTCTTTTATGTTAATAACGACATATTCGGGATGAGGGACTGTCATCACTTCTGATGTGTGAAAACCTCTGTCTGATATTGACATGGGGTCAGTGACCGTTACACATGAACCTGTGAACCACTCGTCCTCATCCAGTGCATCGTTTAATGTAACTCACTGACCAATCACCTGCTCAAGAGCCTGGTGAATGCTGTGAATTTGTAGTCCTGTAAGTTATGCAATTGGTCTGTGAATACTCACAGACACACACACACACACACACACACACACACACACACACACATAATGTCATAAATCGATGTGTCACTTATATCGTGTCCAGTATTGTTCAGAATCACATTTAGCTGTCTAAAGCTAAATCCATACTTCACATGAAGGCAACATCTGGCTTTAACCTCGACCAGTGTCGAGCGCTATTACAAGTCTTACTGACCGTGTTGTCTTTGCTAAAAGCTGTTCTTTCTAAAATCCTACATCTGTTTACATGTGTAGGAGCAGGCTTTTATTCCAGCAATTCCTGTTTTCACCAGCACGTGCATTTTGAGGCTTGTTAGTACGGACAGGGATTAAAACTGAAACAGAAACAAAACGCTCTTGTAGACGGAAATAGATGTAGTTTGAAAATGATGTTTTCAAACTATCACATGTGGATGAAGCCTCAGGCTCTGCTGGAATTCGTAGTTTTAGAAGTTTAGAAAACATATCATTTCTATGGGTGTTGTCATCTCAGTTGCAAAATCCTATGCAAGTTTCCTTATGTCGTAAAGTTTATAATTCAGCCACAGGAGTCAGCACATTCATACAGTCTTAGCAATAAGCACAAAATGAGTGACCGCAATTTACTACAGCAAAGCTGGGGGAACATATTACATGCACTTAAGATATTTATTGATTCACATCACTAAGATTATGTTTTATCGTTCTGACCTGTATGGATGTTTCTGCATTTTCAGCAGAATAGAGTTGAAACAAGTCAGCGCCCTGGGCAGCTCTGGTGGGAAACACTGAATCTTTAGTTCCCAGCCTTAAAAGCTGTCACATTTAAATGCTGCGTTTTAAACTAAAGTTAAACTAACTTTTGTAATAAAACAAACTTCAGACAAGCTCATAAAACATAGAACATTTGTGTCAAACACTTCAGTGCCGTTTAGAGCTTGATGCAGCATGAAGGTATCTCACAGAGGTGCAAATTAATGATGCATTCATCTGATCTCACTGGACGTTTGACAAATAATCTACAGCCGTGTGCAGGGCGCAGTGTTTCCACAGAGGGGACATGTAGTGAACGCCACCTCTGGGAAGCAAGGTCATTTTTTCATGAATGCAGATGATTATTCAGCTAAATTTTGAGATGAAGTGATGAGAAGTCAAAGGTCAAATGTCAAAGGTCACTGTCACATGTGTCCGGATTAGCGGCAGGGACGGAACCTCGCTGGTTGGTGGAGGAACAACCACCACATCGCAATTATTCTAGTTCTTACATAAAATCTTCAATTTGTACCGACTAACATTTTCATTAACAAATTACAATAGAGACTTAAAGGGTTCCAATGTATTTCACACCTTAATCTGCTTCTCCAGGGAGATTGAAAATCCCAGGTAATAGCAAAGAAATGAATTCTTTCTGGGCAGACAACATTTGTCACAGAGAGGGTTTTACAATTACAGTGCAAAACGTTGTTATACGGAATGTTTTTCACCCACTGGACCCCCACGTTTGTTCATACACACTGCTGGTAGAGTCACTCTATCACCTCACCCGTCAGTGCTGTTTTACCCTTAAATTCCCCCTGCAGGCTGTGACAAACAGCACCGTCCATCTGTATCCAGGCTCAGCAGAGAGGCTCGTCAGGTGAAGCAGACCCTCATCTGGGTTCATGGTCGTACCCCTTGACTGACTGTGACTGTCTGGCACAGCTAATGCACAGGCCCCTGGACACAACACAGCCACCATTACCACTGTTTACACACAAAAACATGCTCTTCTCTATTTTCAGACCCTCTTTTTATCTCAGTCAGAAAACCTGCAGAAACACACAACAGCAGGCCGAGGAGCTGCACTGGTTCTGCTCTAAACCCAGGTTTTATGAGGTGCAGTGGGTCGGAGCTGCAAAGTCAGACTTTAGGGGGAAAACAGGGAAACTTGCACACTTTAAAAAGTTGTACATGTACTAAGAAATTGGACGAAACAGATGTAAACAATGTTACTTGAGTATGAAAGTGATGTTTTCGTTTCTTTCAGAGTTTTCTGTGTGAGTGACCCAGTTCATCATCAGCAGCAGCAGCAGCTCTGCGGACGAGCTACATCCAGTCTCACACTGGCCCGGAACGCTAGATAATAAAGTATCCAGCAGGCCGCGATGTCAATACATCTTGAGTGTTATTGAAAAAACACTCAAGAATACTTGGGAAGAATACTGGAAAATCTCCAGAAAATTGTCATATTTCAATTAGATTTTTCATAATATTCCCAGAAAAATA